AGAGTGTTGGACTGGATGGGTGACTGGCCTGATCCGACATTGGCTTCTCTTATGTTCTTATGACTTCTAAAACTACGGGACTTCCCTTAGAACTTTTTCCTAGCTGCCCTAGCAAAGAAGCAAAGCCAAGGTCAATGTACTCTGATCGCTAGAAAAGCTTTTTTAAAAAAAATATTTTATTTAAGCTTTTCCATAACATTTCAACCATATATTTTTACATGTATAATATTGGAGTCTACTTTTCCTCTTTACATTTTAACCAAGCATAAAATCTAGACCATCTATTATTAAATACACTCTTATCTTTCCCTTGTAGTATCATTGTTAAATTATCCATTTCTGCCACTTCTAACAATTTATATTGTAACTCTTGTATTGTAGGCAAATTGTTAGCTTTCCAATATTTAGCAATCAAAATTCTTGCTGCTGTTACAATATAAGTTAGCAAATACTTATCATTTGGATTTAATCCATCCGGCATCATGTTAAGTAGATATATCTCTGGAGCTAAATCTAACTTAATTGTTAACATCTCTGCTATTAATTTTTGGACCTTTTCCAAAATCTGTATATTTTTTCACAATTCCACCAAAAGCTTGATGCGGGGCGGGATGAGGTGAGAGGCCCAAAACGCATCACCCCCAAAACTGCTATTCGGCACATCCGAAGCCCCAGACCCACTGATCACTGGAAACCCCGAAGCATGCAATACTTCTGGGGCGAAAGGACAAAACGTGGCCTCTGCAGATGTCGCCCTGACAGAAACGGAGCTCACAATGTCACACAGGTGAAGTTCCTCCTCAGTTGTGCTTTCCATGGTTTGGGGGTTGCAGATTAATTTTAGCTCCTTTATTGTTCGTCTCCAAAGAGCTGCATTATTTATGAGAGAAGCAGTGGCATGAAAAGATACGAAACACAAGACTAGAGACAGCTGCTTCTCCCGCGGTTAAACCGTTTGTGTCGGCTCACCTGTTCTTCAGACAAACCTCCCCCCCAGGGATGATTGTTGTACCTGCCGCACTGTCGCTGTGCTAGGTGGCCACACAACACTGTGTGCCTCTGCTTTATTCAACACCTTCTGTTTTGCTCTGATTTGGATTTTGAATTTGCTTCCTGGCTAAAGTGCGTGAAGCATCACTGCTCTTAGGAGCGCATTAGCCCTCTTCGGAACTCTTCAGGGACTATGAGGAACATATTGCAAAAAAAACCATGAAGACCAATAATAAAAATTTCTTGCAGAACAGCAGCCAGAGAGGCAGTGGGGTGCTTGGATGACTAAAGAATGACAGGGAAGAAGAGAAGAAGAAAAGATTGGATTTATGCCCCACCCTTCACTACCCAAAGGAGTCTCAGAGCAGCTTACAAACTCCTTTCCCTTCCCCTCCCCACAACAGACACCCTGTGAGGTAGGCAGGGCTGAGAGAGCTCTGACAGAAACTGCTCTTTTCCAAGGACAGCTGTGCCAGAACTATGGCTTGCCCAAGGTCACACCAGCAGCTGCAAGTGGAGGAGTGGGGAATCAAACCCGGTTCTCCCAGATTAGAGTCCGCGCACTTAACCACTACACCAAACTGGAAATGGCAGAGAAGCTGAACGCATTTGTTTTTTTTTTCCCGGGGGGGTTGCCTCTGTCTTCACTGTGGAAGATGGGAGGTGCTTGCCAACTTCAGAACCGCTGATTGCGGGAGGGGTGTTGAAAGACCTGAGTTGGATTGAGGTGAGGGCCTACGACTGATGGAAGAATTAAAAACTGACAAATCACCAGGCCCCGATGGCATACATCCTCGAGTTCTGAAAGAACTCAAATGTGGATCTCCTGACAAAAATATGCAATCTGTCACTAAATCTGCCTCCATTCCTGAGTACTGGAAGGTAGCTAATGTAATTCCCACCTTTAAAAAAGGTTCTGGAGGAGATCCGGGAAATCACAGGCTGGTCGGTTTAATGTCGATACTGGGTAAGTTGATGGAATCTGTTAAAGATAGAATTAGTAGGCCCATTGATGAATAAAAGCTACTGAGGAAGAATCAGCATGGATTCTTTAAGGGAAGAACTTGTCTCATTAACCTTTTAGAGTTCTTTGAGGGGGGTGAAGAAACATGTGGACAGGGGTGATCCAGAAGATGTTTTGTTCACATAGACTTCCAGAAAGCTTTTGATAAAGTTGCTCATCAAAGGCTCCTAAGTAAACTCAGCAGTCCTGGGATAAGAGGACGAGTCCTCTTGCGGATTAAAAACTGGTTAATAAACAGGAAACAGAGAGTGAGTCCAAATGGGCAGTTTTCACAGTAGAAGGTGGTAAGGAATTTGATACCACAGGGCTCGGTCTGGTGCTTTTTAACTTGTTCATTCATGATTTGGAGTTGGGAGTAAGCAGTGAAGTGGCTAAATTTGCGGATGATACGAAGTTGTTCAGGGTGGTGAAAACCAGTGAGGATTGTGAGGCACTCCAAAGGGATCTGTCAAGGATGGGCAAGTGGGCGTCAACATGGCAAATGGGGTTCAATGTGGCCAAGTGCAAGGTGATGTACATTGGAGCCAAAAATCCTAACTATAAATACACATTGATGGGTTCTGAAACTGGCAGTACCTGACCCAGAGGGAGATTTTGGAATTGTGACAGATAACTCACTGAAGATGGCAACTCAGTGTGCGACTGCAATAAAAAAAGGCCAATGCTATGCTGGGGATTATCAGGAAGAGGATTGAAAACAAATCAGACAGTATCATAATGCCCCTGTATACACCTATGGTGCAGCCTCCTTTGGAGTACTGTGTACAGTTCTGGTCACCACACCTCAAAAAAGACATTATAGCATTGGGGAAAGGTTCAGAAAAGGGCAACTAAAATGATTAAGGGAACAGAACCCCTTCCTTATGAAGAAAGGTTGAAGAGGTCAGGGCCCTTTAGCTTGGAGAAGCAACGACTGAGGGGGTGACATGATCGAGGTTTGCAAGATTATGCATGGGATACAGTAGGGATTTATTTATTTTATTTATTACTTTCAATTTATATCCTACCTTGCTGGTACAGTTGTGGCTCAAGGCGGCTTACACAGTTAAAATGCAGTAAGACCAATAAATACAGTAAAAATTCACAGTAAAAAAAAAGAAGTACTTTTCTCCCTTTCTCACAATACGAGAACTCGTGGGCACTCCATGAAATGAATGAGCAGATGGCTTAGAACAGATAAAATGAAGTGGCTCTTCCCCCAAAGAGGAATTAATACGTGGAATTCACTGCCACAGGAAGTGGTGGTGGCTACAAGTATAGACAGCTTCAAGAAGGGATTGGATAAACATACGGAACCAGCGGCTATTAGCCACAAGGTCTAGATGGCACACTCTGTCTGGGGCAAGGGATGCTCTGTCTCCTTGGTGCCTGGGGGGGTGCACAGTGGGAGGGCTTCTGGAGTTCTGGCCATGCGGGTGGACCTCCTGGTGGCACCTGGGTGTTGGGCACTGTGTGACACAGAGTGTTGGACTGGATGGGCCCTTGGCCTGATCCAACATGGCTTCTCTTATGTTCTTATGTCTGGGGCAAGGGATGCTCTGTATTCTTGGTGCTTGGGGGGCCACAGTGGGAGGGCTTCTGGAGTTCTGGCCATGCGGGTGGACCTCCTGGTGGCACCTGGGTGTTGGGCACTGTGTGACATGGCTTCTCTTATATTCTTATGTCTGGGGCAAGTGATGTTCTGTCTTCTTGGTGCTTGGGGGGCCACTGTGGGAGGACCTTTGGAGTTCTGCCCCCGCTGGTGGGCCTCCTGATGGCACCTGGGTTTTGGGCACTGTGTGACACAGAGTGTTGGACTGGATGGGCCCTTGGCCTGATCCAACATGGCTTCTCTTATATTCTTATGTCTGGGGCAAGTGATGTTCTGTCTTCTTGGTGCTTGGGGGGCCACTGTGGGAGGGCTTTTGGAGTTCTGGCCCTGCTGCAGGACCTCCTAGTGGCACCTGGGTTTTGGGCACTGTGTGACACAGAGTGTTGGACTAGGTGGGCCTCTGGCCCGATCCAGCACAGCCTCTCTTATGTTCCTGGAAGACGAGGAAGAAGAGGGATTTCAATGGGGGTGTAATGCCATAGAGTCCACCTTCCAAAGGAGCCATTTCCTCCAGGAGAACAGGTCTCTGTCACTTGGAGATTAGTTGCAATCCCAGGAGATCTCCAGCCACCACCTGCAGGTTGGCAAGCCTAAGAGGGAGTGGGGTTGCACCCACTGGCCCGAGCTACAAATGTCCATCTGAACATCCAGCTGTATGTGGGCAGTTGGCCATGTGTCAGTTGTGGGGGGTGGAGAAGGGGCCAGCAGAGCTCTGAGTCTTCCAGCAGTCCCTCTTTTTCTCCAGACGCTGCGCTTGTTGGTGTTTGTGTGTCTAGGCACTATTCTATTGTGAGCCTTGTCCACATCCAGCTGCTGGATGACCTTGGGTCAGTCACAAGTTCTCTCGGAGCTGTTCTCTCAAGGACAGTTCTGTCAGAGCTCTCTCAGCCTCACCGACCTCACAGGGTGTCTGTTGTGGGGAGGGGAAGGGAAAGGAGTTTGTAAGCCGCTCTGAGACTCCTTTGGGTAATGAAGGGCGGGGTATAAATCCAATCTCCTCCTCTTCCTCCTCCTCCTCTTTTTCTTCTTCTTCAAGTATCCCATGGATGTTAGGCCACTGTGGCTGATGTGCATTCTGCAGGGGAATGGAAGGAACTGCTTTTGAAACCATGTGAAGTCATGTTTCTCCTGGCCAATGTAGATTTTGTTTTCCAAAAGATGCTTGGAAAGAGTGCCGAACATGATCTGGGCGAAAGTGGGCAGTGTGAGCTGTGGCCCTGTGGGACTTCTCAGTCAGGTTCCTCGGCCTCCACCGGGTCTTAGGCCCTCACCGTGGAAACCCGGGACCATTACGCCAGTGTGACGCTGTCCAGCAGACGAACCTCAAGCTGAAAAAGAGGCCAGCTTGGAGGGCGCCAGGAGCCTGGACTGACCCACGTTTCTCTCTCCCAACAGCACCTCCCAAGGAGCCCGTTCTGATGTGCCGGTCCAATAACTACCCCAACGGCTTCTACTGCAGTTGGCACCTGCCCAGCCCGACGTACATCCCAGATGCTTTTAACATCACCGTAAAGTAAGTGGGGTGGGGGAGAAAGGGTGGCGGTTTCGGGTAGAGTCTGGGGGAGCTTAAGATCTCTTGCAGGAGAAGACCTGGCCACAGGAGTCCGCGCTCAATGGCTCTTACATGGGACCGGGCTACACATGCAATAAAATGTAATGCCAGGTACGGGAGGTATAAATTTTATAAAGGATGCTGCCAAACCCAACTATTGATATTTTAAACTCAAAATACACGCATGCTTAAAACATTAACACCCTTACAGTATTTTCTTAAAGTATCTCCCTGATGCTCACGCGCCTGCGAGACGGAGCTCTTCCGCCAGTCTTTCAGCTAGGGTGCCGCCACTACTATAGAGCCCTGGCCCTCGGTTCTTGACACCTAGCCTTGGTTTTGACCTCTAGCCTGCGCTGTAGGAAGATCTTGAGCAGAATGACATCTCGGCTTTGTAAGCATTCTGCAGAAGTCAGCCATCTTGAATAGCTAATGAACCATCCTCAGCACTTTATGAAATAGTATTAGTTATAATGTCATTGTTTTAGATTATTTTATGTTGTTTTTAATTGTATTTATGTATTGACCGTGAGCTGCCCTGAGCCTGCACTGCGGGGAGGGCGGGGTATAAATGGGATAGATAGATAGATAGATAGATAGATAGATAGATAGATAGATAGATAGATAGATAGATAGATAGATAGATAGATAGATAGATGATAGATGATAGATAGATAGATATAGATAGATGATAGATAGATGATAGATAGATGATAGATAGATGATAGATAGATAGATAGATAGATAGATAGATAGATAGATAGATAGATAGATAGATAGATAGATAGATAGATAGATAGATTAGGATAGATAGAATAGATAGATTAGGATAGATAGATAGATGATAGATAGATAGATAGATAGATAGATAGATATTAGCACTGGGACAGTATGCAGGGACGTAACACACAGCCTCTGTCATCTGGCAATAAAGGTAATGAACAGTTGCTTGCGGGCCAGTTCAGAGCCACGGACCTTACATTTGACACCCCTCATCTACTGCTCAAGATCGATGGTTCCCATTTTATCTACTCGCCGAAGCTTTCAAATCGCTGGGTGGACAATGAGCTGGGGACAGTAGGCTGGCTGCTCACACCAGCGCGGGGCTCGAACTAACACAGTTCAGATGTTAAGGCAGTGGGATATACCCACTGTGCCACCGCTCCCCAAGATCCAATCAAATCAGAGCCAATGTGTCGAAATGTCGTGATACAATCACAAACCAATATCTGTGGCTCCCTTGTGAAATTCAGTGCCCCAACAGGTGACGGCAGCCACTGGCCCAGATGGATGAAAACAGGGGCTGGATAGATGTGTGGACGATGGGTGCAGGTGGCCGTAATATCCCATTGGGTCCTCCAAGCTATATCTTCTGAAGTTCTTTTTAATAATAATAATAATAATAAATCGATTAATTGTTAATTGCACACCAAAAAAAGAGCAATCCAAAAGTCAAACTATTATAACATGATTGACCGGTAACCTCTGATAGTTCTCTGAATGAGCCCTGACCAGGATGGGCCAGGCAAGCCCGATCTCAAGCGAAGCAGGGCCGGCCCCGATTAGTCCTTGGACGGGAGACCACGAAGGAAGTCCAGGGTTGCTGTGCAGAGGCAGGCCATGGCAAACCACCTCTGTTAGTCCCTTACCTCGACCTGGATGGCCCAGGTGAGCCCAGTCTCATCAGATCTCAGAAGCTAAGCAGGGCTTGTTAGTACTCGGATGGGAGACCACGAAGGAAGTCCAGGGTTGCTGTGCAGAGGCCAGCAATGGCAAACCACCTCTGCACACCTCTTGCTTTGAAAACCCTCCAGCAGGGCTCTTTTTGTAGGAAAAGCCCAGCAGGAACTCATTAGCATAATAGGCCACACCCAACAGCAGGAACTCGTTAGCATATTGGACCACACCCCTGCCAGCACAGCTCATTAGCACATTAGGCCGCACCCCCATGTTACCAGAAGTGTGGTCATCCAGCCACACCCACCTTTTGCTTCTTATTCTGTTTACTTTGTTTGTTGTCAAAACCCAGGGCCTTTTTTTGTTGCAGGAACTCCTTTGCATGTTAGGCCACACACCCCTAATGTAGCCAATCCTAATGAGTGTCTCCTGTTGGGTGTGGCCTGTTATGCTAATGAAGTTCCTGCTGGGCGTGGCCAACTTGGGAGCCAGCCGGAACTCCGTTCCTGCGCGTTCCTGCGCGTTCCTGCCCCAAAATAGCCCTGCCCTCCAGGGTTACCCTAAATCGGCTGCCACTTGACGGCACCTTCCACCACCGTGTGAATTAAGGACTGACCGATCCTCAGGGTGGATGTCTAGTACCCCTCCCGTGGTGCTGTATTGCTGCCATTGTTAGTAGTCCTGGAAGCGCCATCTGTCATTATTTCCTCTAATCTTTAAAAATCCATTTAATCCGGAGCCCACCGCCTCCACCTAGAGGCAAGGTCTCCCACAAGTTACTTAATTAGATCCTCCTCGCCAGTTTTAATGGCGTGCAGTCTGCCTCCCCCAAAACGTTCAGCCCCTTTGAAATTTGTTTTGCACCGTCTGATCTTTCGCTCAAATCAGAGCATCCGTGTGAGCTTCGGAGTTTTGTTTATATGAAGTTTTGCAGCAGCTCTAATGGTGGAGGGTCCTCCCCCACCCCCACCCCCGGCCCGGAAATGGCAGGATCTTTTTTTGCATCATTAATGATTCACAATAGTTATACTGAAAGACACCCTCACACACACACACACACACACACACACACACTCTTCTCGTAGTCTTTTGTTTCAGCAGTTCCAGACTTCTGAAGGGTTTGGAGAGGAAAGAGGGAGCTGATGGTGGAGTGTAATTTCCCTCTCCAGGAGGAGTAAATGAAGCAACTCTCTTTGATGTGCAGAACCTCTGATGGATGCTCTTGTGGGAGCTGACAGGGTCAGCTTTTGCGAATATGTTCGAGGTGTGCGAGAAATTGCTTCATCCACCTGAACTTTTCCACCAGGGCCGTGTAGATGTCAGGAACATTCTCACCTGCAGTTCTGTGGGATTTGGGGCTTGTGGTGGAATAATTTCTTTTTGGTCTTTCTTTTTCCAAACAAGAGGCTGGGTTCACCTGGAAAATGTTTGAAAGCGTAGTTTGATCCCGGAGTTTGTTGTGGTGGTTAGCTTCGTTCGTAGCCTAACCTGCTCCCTGAGAGCGAAGGCAGTTTACAAAACATGAAAAGCCATTCAACTGGAAAGCAAAAACCTCCCATAATGCAGTAGGACTAGGATTTCACAACTGGAAACCGATGCAAACAAAAACTGGCAAGGCATACCATAGCGAAGAAAGGGAGTTATAAAGGTAGAGGTCCTAGAGGACATTGCAGTAAAAGGGGAGGGGGGAGACATACAATAAACACATGGCAATAGACTATCTTTTGTATGTTGTAGGGCTATCTGTATGTTGTAGGGCTATCTTTTGGCTGTGCGCCTGCAGAGTGCAGGGAGTTGCACTAGATAACCTGCAAGAATCATAGAATGTTAAGAGTTGGAAGGAATCTTGCAGGTCATCTAGTCCAACCCCCTGCACTCTGCAGGAGCATAGCCGAAAGAGAGCCCTACAACATACCCAAAAGATGGCCGTCCAGCCTCCGCTTGAAAATGTCCAGTGAAGGAGCATCCACCACTCCCGAGGCAGACTGTTCCACTGCTCAACCACTCTTACAGTCAGGAAGTTTCTCCTGATATTGAGCCAGTATCGACTCCCTTGTAATTTCCACCCATTAGATCTAGTCTTGCAATCCGGAGCAAGAGAGAATAGATCTGCTCCATCTTCTACATGACAGCCCTTCAGATGCTTGAAGAGAGAATAGATCTGCTCCATCGTCTGCATGACAGCCCTTCAGATACTTGAAGACTGCAATCCTGTCCCTTCTAAGCCTTCTCTTTCCCAGGCTAAACAGACCCAGCTCTTTCAGCCTTTCCTCGTAAGGCTTGGATTCCAACCCTCTCACCATCCTGGTTGCCCTCTTCTGGACACGCTCCAGCTTATCAACGTCTTTCCTAAAATGTGGTGTCCAAAACTGGACACAGAACTCCAGGTGAGGCCTGACCATAGCAGACCAGAGTGCAACTACCACCTCCCATGAAGGTGGACTTGCAGTGTACTCCATTTTCCCTGGCAATCCCACCCCATGCTGTTTCCTCTTTTACCCATCCTGGCATCCCCAGTGTCCTCACCTTCTTCCTTCTCTCCTTCGCAGCCACCAACCAACCTACCTTTTATCCACTCTCCCCATCTTGAGCTATATTTATTTCATTTGTGGGCATTAAAAAACATCCAGTTCCCAAAAGCATAAGAGCAGATACAGGCCCAACAGCATTAAATATTTTGCAGCCTAAATGCTCATCACGGCAGGCCTCAGACTAGGTGCGGCTTGGGGAAAAAACAATTTAAGAGATCAACGTTTACTTAAAAGAAATGCTTTGGTCTCCTGCCTAAAAACGGAGTCAGGTGGGTGCCAGTTGACCCTGAAGGGAGAGGGCATTCCACAGGTGAGGGGCCACCACCAAAAAAGCCCTGTCTCTGTTGGCCATCCACCTTCCCTGTGCAGGAAGGGTCTTTGAGGAGCAGAGGTCATTTCGTAGAAAAAGAGGTGCAGGAACTCATTAGCATAACTCATTAGCATAACTTATTTGCATATGCCACACATCCCGGACATCACCGGAAGTGTGTCAGAAGGCAACACCCACCACTCAGGCTCCACTGGATTGTTTTGGATTCCTAACTATGGGGGGGGGGGCGTGCAGATCTGTCCTCGCAGAGGAGGGAGAGCTTGTACCTGAATAAAACTCGGTCTTAAAGGTGCCACTGGACTGTTTTGGAAATGCTGGCTCTGCAACTTACCTGGCTGCTTCTTGCTCTGACTGAGGGCTGCTGGGAGCAGGGGGTGGGGCTTGTTGCATGTGCCCGCCCCCTGGGCTCTTTACTGCCGGAGCTCTGCTCCTGTGCGCTCCCGCAGGAAATGACCCCTGGTGAGGAGGATTCGTAACGGGTAGGCTGGCCAGGCTGGGAGGAGAGGGTCCTTCCGCTGCGCTGGCCCCGAGCCACTGAGGGCCTTAGAGGTCAGAACCAGCCCTGGGAACAGGTGGGCAGCCCCTGTGTAATGTATTCAATTGCTGCCATTGAATGCATAACTGTATGTGAACAACATAATTTAATTGCCATGTAAAGCTTCGTCCTGGGCTAGGATCCAAATCCATCCAATCGCATTGCTAGCCTGGGAAGAACCATCCAATCACAAGTCAGCAAGCTCCCAGAGCGGGAACGTCCGTGATTGGTCCTTATGCATACAACCTTATTGGTTGGTAATTTTACAGTGGGTGTGGCTACATTAGCCGGGAGAGTTTAAAAGCAGGACAGCTGCAATGTAAAAGCTGTTCTGGCTATCAGATGTTGATCCGTGTTGGAGTTGTGTTCGAGTTGTTGAATAAAGCTGAATCTTTGCTGAATCACTCTCCGACTACTTTGTTAAGCGAGCGACTTAACACCCTGCAAATCTTCTTGGCCCAGGGTTGATATGATCCCGATATCCAGCCTCCGGATAGATGAGGCCTGTGCGGATGGATGCTTCTCTCAGCGTTTGAGCTGCGCTTTAATTAAATGATGATTTGGTCAACGGGGGACGTCTATTTATCTTGCTGAAGAGCACGCCAATTAATCCAGCATGTGTGCTAATGAAAGTCGTTTCCTGCACGCTCGCCTGCGTCAGCTGAAATCAGGGCTCGCGTGCTTATCGGCTATCACGGGATCTCAGTGCCTGTCAGACATGGCGGGTGTGGCCTTCATTTCCTGTTCCACGACAGGAAGCTGCTGAGCAAAGGCAGCCGAGCTTTCTTTATGAGATCCAGAGTCCGTCTCTGTCTGTCGGTGCATTCGCTCGTCCCTCTTCCCATATATGCCTCGAAATCGCTCCTGGACTCTTGCTCTCTTCTAGTTCGAGGGCCAGTTTGGTGTCGTTGTTAAGTGCGCGGACTCTAATCTGGGAGAACCAGGTTTGATTCCCCACTCCTTCGCTTGTACCTGCTGGATGACCTTGGGCAAGCCATGGTTCTCTCAGAGCTGTTCTTGAAAAAGAGCAGTTTCTGTCAGAGCTCTCTCAGCCCCACCAACCTCACAGGGGTTAGGGGAGGGAGTTTGTAAGCCGCTCTGAGACTCCTTTGAGTAGTGAAGTGTGGGGTATAAATCCAATCTCTTCTTCTTCCTCTTCTTCTTCTTCTAGTGCCACAGACAGATTACCACAGCTACCCATCTTGATCTATTCTCCACAGCCTTCGTTTTCCTCCTCAGCTGACCTCTCCTTATCTCTGTTTTTGGTAGGCACGACTCTAAGGACATCGTGTGTGAGAAGGACATGTCCCCCAAGAACCGGTGCTACATCCGCTACCTTCACCTCTTCTCCACCAAGAAGTACAAGGTGACCCTGACGGTCACGAACGCCCTGGGCAGGAACTCCACCACCATCTCCTTCGATGAATCGATAGGGAAAGTCCGTGACGCGCTCCGTTTGGGCGGCTGGGTCTCGCAGGGGCTGAGCAGGCAGCCCAGTAGGCGCTGCCCTGGCCTGCAGTACAGGGGTGTCGTTGGGCTTACCAAAACAGACCTTGCGATCAGCCCTGCCAATGTCTCCCCAGGGAAGAAGAACATCACAGCTGGTTCTTGGGGGGGGGGGATCCGTGAAGGCTTCTGGGTAAAGACAGCTGGGACCGTGCTGAATTGCGCTTTTAAGTGTCCAATAGTGCTCTATGTTACATTTATCTTCTTGCGGTCCTCACAACAGCTTTGCGAGGTAGGCCACTGTTCCTAGCATACTGCCAGGTGAAGAGACCGGTTAGCCCTAACTTCATGGCAGAGGCAGGATACAAGCCGGCCCAAGTGCTGAATTGTATGCCAGAGGGGCTCATGGGTATTAAAAAGTTTGCACCGTGCTTCTTCTTGAAGGAGCCTTCCCTAGGAGACAGGACAGTCTTCCTCTTTATTGCCCCCTGAAAGAGACTTGACCAAAGTCCTAGAAAGAGTCTAGGGGAGAGGCCACACTGGGCTAACTCTCTCTTGTACCCACTGGTCACGGCTCTAGTTGGCAAGCCTTAAGAAAACTTCTCCTGGATCAGACCAGTATGAGTCCCTCTAGCCCAGCATCCTGTCTCACCCAGTGGGCAACCAGTTCTTCTGGAGATCCAACAACAGGGCAGAGAGGCCGAGGCCTTCCCCCGATGGTGCCTCCTGGCTCTGGGATTCAGAGGCTTCAGCCACCGTGGCTAGTAGCCACCAGTGTTCCCTCTAAGCTGAGTTAGTGTGAGCCAGCTCACAGTTCTTTAGCCTCCAGCTCACACATTTTTGTCTTAGCTCAGGAAGGATGGCTCCGGAGCAAACTAGTTTATGCAGTAGCCAAACTGCTCGCTCTCACCTTTAATGCCACTAGCTCCCAAAGTAGAATTTTTGCTCACAAGACGCCTCATCTTAGAAGGAACATTGGTAGCCACTGATGGACTTCTCCTCCATGAATCTATCAAATCCCCTTTTCAAGCTGTTCATTCCCGTGGCCATCGCTACATCCTCTGGCAGCGAATCCCGCATTTTAATCACTCTTTGTGTAAAGTGGTATTTCCTTTTGCCCGCCCTGAACCTACTGCCCATCAGCTTCATTGGATGCCCTCAAGTTCTAGTCTTTTGGGAGAGGGAGAAAAAGTTGCCTTCGTCCACTCTCTCCACCCCCACGTATCGTTTTATAAGCCTCTATCATGTCCCCCCTTTGTCGTCCCTTTTCCGAACTGAAAAGTCCCGGGTTCTTCAGCCTTCCTGCGTAGGGAAGGTGCTCCAACCCCGAAATCATCTTGGTTGCCCTTCTCTGTATTTTTTTTCTAGCTCTGCAATGTCCTTATTGAGACGCAGTGACCAGAGCTGTGCACAGTCTGCACCATAGATCTAAACAGGGGCGTTCCAATAGTGGCTATTTTATTTGCAATTCGAGTCTGCCTTTTTCACTGCTACAGCACACTGGATTGACGCTTTCATTGAGCAATCCACTACAGCCCCAAGATCTTTCTCCCTCTCACAGGTTCAGTTTGGTGTCGTGGTTAAGTGCGCGGACTCTCATCTGGGAGAACCGGGTTTGATTCCCCACTCCTCCACTTGCACCTGGCTGGATGACCTTGGGCAAGCCGTAGTTCTGTTAAGAGCTGTCCTTGAAAAAGAGCAGTTTCTGTCAGAGCTCTCTCAGCCCCGCCTACCTCCCAGGGTGTCTGTTGTGGGGAGGGGAAGGGAAAAGGAATTTGTAAGCTGCTCTGAGACTCCCTTGGGTAGTGAAAAGCGGGGTATGAATCCAGTCTCTTCTCTTCTTCATTAGCCTATACTTGAAGTTGGGATTCCTCTCCTCTACCAGGTCAGATCTTCGGAGCTAAACAGGGCTGGCCCTGGTCAGTCCTTGGATGGGAAACCGCCAAGGAAGTACAGGGTTACTACGCAGAGGCAGGGAATGGCTAAAACTGCCTCTGAAAGTCTCTTCCCTTGATAACCCCACGAGATCACCATAAATCAACCATGACTTGACAGCAAAAAACCCAAATAGTCTTTAAGGTGCTCCTGGGCTCTTGCTCTTTTCTACTGCTGCAGACAGACTAACACAGCTACCCACTTTGATCTATCCAGTTTTGGGCACCACATTTGAGGAAGGAGGTTGACAAGCTCGAGCGTGTCCAGAAGAGGGCAACCAGGATGGTGAGGGGGTTGGAATCCAAGTCTTAGGAGGAAAGGCTGAAAGAGTTGGGTCTGTTTAGCCTGGGAAAGAGAAGGCTTCGAGGGGACAGGATTACAGTCTTCAAGTATCTGAAGGGCTGTCATGTAGAAGATGGAGTGGATCTATTCTCTCTTGCCCCAGATTGCAAGACTAGATCTAATGGGTGGAAATTACAAGGGAGTCGATACCGGCTAACTATCAGGAGAAACTTCCTAACTGTCAGAGTGGTTGAGCAGTGGAACAGTCTGCCTCGGGAGGTGGTGGATGCTCCCTAGCTGGACGTTTTCAAGTGGAGGCTGGGCGACCGTCTTTTGGGTATGTTGTAGGGCTATCTTTCGGCTGTGCTCCTGCAGAGTGCAGGGGGTTGGACTAGATGACCTGCAAGGTCCCTTCCACCTCTAACATTCTATGATTCCTTGGGCAAGAAAACCAGCACGGCCAAGGAGGATCATCAAGTGAGAATGGGCACCTTGCTCCTTTGCCACCATCCGCCGCAGCGGCACACCAACAGTGCTTACTGTCCCCTTGCGAGGAGTCAGGCCCAAAGTTCCCTCTAAGCTGTGTTAGTGTGAGCCAGCTCACAGTTTTTTAGCCTTTGGCTCGCACATTTTTATCTTAGCTCAGGAAGGATGGCTCCAGAGCAAACTAATTTATGCAGTAGTCATATCGCTCATTCACAACTTTAATGCCAGTAGCTCACAAAGTAGAATTTTTGCTCAGAAGACTCCACAGCTTAGAGGGAGCATTGGTCAGGCCATATTGCCAGTTTAAAGCATGCAAGAGGCATTTCATCTGGCCTGTCCAGCCCCTTCTTCCTCCACAGGAAAACCCTGGTCTCGCCTTTCATCCCAGATGCATAGAATGGAGTAAGATGAAATCCCTCTTTCATGCTTTAAACTGGCAATATGGCCTAACCTTTAAAGCCCTATATGGCCTGAGTCCAACATACCTAAGGGACCACCTTTCCCTATATGTTCCCCTGCGAGCAACATCTCCTGACGATGCCAGGCCCCAAGGAGGCCAGGCTGGCTGCTACCAGGGCCAGAGCTTTTTCGGTGGCGGCTCCTACCTGGTGGAACGAGCTCCCGGAGGAGATCCGGGCCCTGCGGGACCCTGCAAAACGGAGCTCTTCCGCCAGGCATTCGAGTAGGAGCTGCCACTATTGTACCATCATTATGTTACCATCATGAGCATCTGGCCCTGGGAAGAGAGACCGACCGTGTCACGTGGAACTGACAGTATTGAGACGTCATCTTTATGGAAGATCATTCGGGAACATCTAGAGCACTTATTATATTGTAATATTGTAGTAATGATTTTATATGGTTTTAACGTGTTCTATGTGTTGGCTTACGCCTATTTGTGAGCCGCCCTGAGCCCGCGTTTGCAGGGAGGGCGGGCTATAAATTGAATTCATAAATAAAAATAAAATAAAATGAAAGTAGTACAAAAGATAGAAAAGGTCAAACCGTGCAGAAATAACGAAAAATACTTTCAACAAAATCAGTATAATAATCTAACCCTATATAAATAGAGTAGTTTTTCACAAATGCAATAATATAGCAGTCAGAAAGACAAAAGTACATGGTCCAAATACAAAAATAGTCCTATTCATCCACCATCAAAAGCAGTCCAAGTCAAATTCCTCAAAAAGTGAAAAGACAAGAAATTTTAAGCAAAACTTTGGAAATGGTGAAAATGGACAAATTAACTCTGATTTTGAAAGGACAACCAGAGACTGTATTCGAGAATACATGGTCAAGATTTTACCAATGGTTTTAAGAGCATTCCAAGTAATTAACAGAACCATTTAAGCTTTCCCAAGGACCTTTATTATATAAATATGATTTATTGTCAAGCAGCGTAGTTATTGTTTACAAGGTGAATTATAGAAATTTATGAGAAATTAGGCATCAAAATGTTATTGAAGAACTGAAACGGAATTTTCCCCCTTCATGTTTGTTTTGAAAATAAAAAAGCATTTAAACAAAAAAAGTGAAAAGTCCAAATACAGAGGTTTATAATTCCTCTTCACAAAATCCCCGTCTCGCCGCTTGTGTCTCCGCTTCACAGCTCACCGATTTCAAATTGCCGTTATCGCCTGGTTTGCTCTCACTACTATACTGTAGCCAGTTTGGTGTAGTGGTTCAGTGCAGTGGAAAAGACAATTAGGAAAACTCTTAATCTGGGAGAACCGGGTTTGATTCCCCTCTCCTCCACTCGCACCTGCTGGATGACCTTGGGCAAGCCATAGTTCTGTCAGAGCTGTTCTTGAAAAAGTGTAGTTTCTGTCAGAGCTCTCTCAGCCCCACCTACTCACCGGGCGTCTGTTTGTGGGGAGGGGAAGGGAAAGGAGTTTGTCAGCCACTCTGAGACTCCTCCGGGTAGTAAGGGCGGGGTATAAATCCAATCTCTTCTTCTTCTTAATCTGGGAGAACCGGGTTTGATTCCCCATTCCTACACTTGCAGCTGCTGGATGACCTTGGGCAAGCCATAGTTCTGATAAGAGCTGTCCTTGAAAAAGAGCAGTTTCTCTCAAGAGCTCTCTCAGCCCCACCGACCTCATAGGGTGTCTGTTGTGGGGAGGGGAAGGGAGAGGAGTTTGTAAGCCACTCTGAGACACCTTTGGGTAGTGAAGGGCGGGGTATAAATCCAATCTCTTCTCTTCTCTTCCTCTTCTTCTTGTATTGTATTTTTGAAAAACAACTCTATTTATATAGGTTTAGATTGTTATACTCATTGA